CTCAACCCTTAAAGCCATGAAAAAATTTTAAGGAGAAAAGCTCATTAATCTCTGCATTAGAGGATATTATGAAGGTCATTGAAGGCATGCTTGATATTTGTGACGAGCTCATCGACCATTCGTGTTCCTTTTTGTTCAGAATTAATTGCCTTCTTAGCGTCTGTCCTTGTCAATTCCCTCTTTCTAGGTCATCCTTACTTGCAAATGTGGTAGGGTGAAAAATTGGGCATGCATGATCTGGAGTGAGCACCCTCATGCTACTTTGGCGCATCTGTGAACTGTCAACCTGAGCATTAACACCTATACATTGTCTACCCAATACATTGGCACTTATAAGTCAAGCCTTGGGGTCTATGCACTACCCTCACCTATTTTTCTAATTTGTCTTTGACATAGGCTTTGCACGTTCAATGCATAGGTGCAACCCTTTCAGCACGTAACTTTTTTTCTGCTACCTCATGCATAAAAAATGATTTGTCGGACGAATAGATAATGAGCCTGGGAAGCCCCGGTAGCCAACACTGGGAGATGTACCCCTGAAAGAAAACGGATGCGCTATGGCTTTCGACGTGGACCGGCCCTTTACTTTAGGAGCGGTGTGTTTGGGCACCAAGCCCTTTATTAAGTGTGATATTTCTCTAGTTCCTCTCATTCATACGATAACACCCCCCCTGCCTTAGCCTAAAATTCAAATAGAGTTTTGGATGAAGCAGGACAAAAATGGGAAGCATAGAAGTAGAAGGAAAAGAAAAAGTAGGAGAAGGAGAGGGAGAAGAAGAAAGAGGACCCGAGTTTCCTAGTTTGTAGGTGAGATCATCTTCTCTTTTCTCTTCACCTTTTCATTTCTATCAATTCTTTTTATTTCTATCAGATTTTTTGGTGTCAAATTAATTCATTCCTAAGAAGTAATTTATGCAGTCAAAAGCTAAGATATACGAGGTATTTGTAAAGAGAAATTTGGAAAGGTTTTGTTTTGAAACTGGGGTTACAGTGATTCCGATTGTGAGAGAATTTTATGCTAATCTTAAAGAGCATAACAGGGAGAAGGTGTTTGTGAGAGGAAAGCGGGTAGATTTTAGCCCACCAAAAATTAACTTCTTGATTTTTTTGTTATTTCCTGAAGAAGTGTACTTAGGATTTATTCCTTTTGATGATGACCTTGATGAAACATAATATTTCTTATAGATGGTCGTGCTTGATGGGTATATGATTATAGGAAGAATAATTTTCTTTTTTTACCATGTATGTTGAGTCCAAATTTTGGCACTATTTTCTTTTGTCCAAACTTCTATCTTCCACTAATCTAAGTGAGGTTATGAGAGGTAGAGCTATTTTGAATTCTTTTATACAGAAGAAAAAGTCTATAGATGTATGTAGTGTGATCAACAATTTGATCTATATTATATTTACGGGTGGAACTATGATCGAGCTTAGACATCCGTCTGTGATTTTTTGCTATATGTTAGAAGAATGGAGTTAGTTTTTAGATTTGGGAAGACCAACTACATCCACTTAAGCCTATCTCAAAAAAAAATATTGCGAGTTATAGCATCACTTCTTTTGAAAGGGGTGAAAGCTCCTCTAGATCTACTGCTTCTCAACCCAGGCCCACTACTCTAATTGTCATTATCTCATAGCATCTCAATATTCTTTCATAGAAATCAGCTATTTTGTAGTGGGAGTTACATGATCTTGTTAATCATTTGCATAATAATATCGATATGCTCTAATAGGACTATAATGCTCAGTAAACACTGCTCAATAAAAAATGTATCGGCAAAACTAGTGAAATGTTTGACCACTGAGCCACATCTATAGGACCATCGAGCCACGTCTCCTATCATTGTACCTCGACCACATCCATCAGGACCAAAACATTCCTAACCAATCTCCTATACAACATTTGACCACCGAGCTTTAGCTGGTTCACTCGGTCGGCCTCATAATATGCCCACAACACAAAAGCATCATCATGGAGTTCAATAACTTCTTGATGAAGATTAATGGCTTAGCCCCGCATTTTCTCTAGCACCATAAGAAGATCATCATCTTGTTGAGTCAGAGTAGGTTCCACCTCATCCAGGGGTACATCTAACATAACTCAAATGTTTCCCCTTGGGTCTCCATAGGATCATTTGGGCGATTAGCCATGTTCTCTTTGCTGCCAGTTGGTGCTTGGGGCACATGGTCCATCAACAAGGTTGGATTTCACCAATCACCAACAATAGACAAACTCCTAATTCGAGTGTCCTTTTATACAAAAAATAATAAACGATGATTAAAGAATAAATACTCAAGTTGAAGAAAATGAAGGAAATCATGTACCCAAAATCTAATTCATCTCGGACCAGGTAGCTCTGCCCATATTAAATGACAAGAATTCAACACCCTACCCCTTCTCACCAATCGAAGGATCACTTCCACTGACTCCTTGTATACCAGTTTGTGGGGAAACACTCACAATTCTCAATTGAACCCAAACTTAAACTAAAGTCTTTTGTTGACAAACTAACCACTGAGCCACCCAACCTCTCAGAGCTCGGCTATACATTCTCCGAAGTCTCTCAGAATGAGTCAAGAGACTCTTCTACCTCCACTCGCTCAATGGGTTTTAGCTTCTTAAATAACTTCTTCTTCTTCGGCTCACCTTTAAGTCGGTGCTGTCTTATTCCAAGGGTATCCAACATCTTATCTCGGTCGGCGGGTTTTAGCTTTGAATCAGATCCTTTCTCCATAAGAAAATTAAAAAATTGATCAAATGCAAGGAGGAATAAACTTGAGATGATGAGAACTGCTCCCTACGACCTATATTTATCGGTCATGTGCACATAAAAATATAGAGAGTTTAAATATAACATTAAATTATGACTATTAAGATTTGATTTATAGCATTAAAGAATTCTTTATCCTTATTGTAACTGTCTCTATTAAGGAGCAAGAAAATTATGTAACTTAAAATATACACCCAAAAATGTTATGAACGAGTCCATCAAACAATCTGATGGTCTAGGTTAAAAGAGATAAATTAAGGAATATCTCTATAATGAGAAGCTACAAGTACTCATAAAATTGTTTGACAAAAGAACAATTGACCGGCCGACAAGTAGTAGACCAAAGGGCTAGCAGACAATCGAAGTACTGTTGATCGACGAATAGCCAATCTGATGATCAAAGGGCCACATAGGCTGACCTAGAACAAAGATTCACTCCAAACAATCAAACAAAAATCTAACACCCCCAGCAACCACACAAGTATCAATGTGAGGCTCTCTCAACAACTTCCTCAAAGAACAATAAGGAACAAGCAAGTCGGTCGACCACATTAGTACCTATGGGCTACCACTCTTAAAGCCAACCGACTTTCCAGAACCAATGTCAACTTACATCTTGGAAAAACATTCGACCAACACAAGTTCAGTCAACTGATTTGAAGAATTGTCAACCAGATGGTCCAGGCATATTAATAGATGCCAAACATTAGTTATAAATATGAAAATATACAAGAAAGGACAATAATGTTCTTAAACCCCTATTAAAGCAGGAGCATACATGTGATTTTCTACCTTTGGCCCTATATCTTCTATAAATATGGGGGGACTATAACATGTATTAATGATTCTTACCTGTCTAGGCTTTGACCTCTTTAGGCCCTTCTCTCTAAACCTTCTTTGTAGGAAGATCTCTCTCCCATTCTTTCTTGTAACCCCCAGTTACAATATACAAAATGAGTCACAGAATCTAGGAATGACACATTTCCTCTAAGGAGCAAGTATGTGTGTGTTTTTTCATTTCTTTTTCCCTCTCTATCTCTCTTTTCTTTTACATCAATGTTTTTACTGCTCTGATCATTGGGCATGCCTCACATGACAAATTTGAATTTAACAGTATGTAAATTTTTTAAATATTTTTGATAACTGAATCATCAAACCAGACACCCAAGCCAGCATCCTCGATTCTTGCACATGCATTTTCCCTGCTGCTCTCAGGTTTTCTTCTTTCTTGCTTCTTTTCCTGATGCTCACAGGTGCAAGCAAGTCACAGTTTTTCATTCGGAATACAAACTAATTGACCCTCTCCTGCTTAACAAAACAGATAGCATATTAGTCCATCATTACAAAAAATACTTTGTAGATGAAACATATAACAAAATTGGTTCGGGCATCCATCATTACAAGAATTGCTTGGGAGAACAATAAAGGAATTGCTTCTGAAATTTTAAGTTAATGATCTTAATACAATGATTGTTTATGCCTTTAATACAAAAACCTACTACTATAGAATATTGAAGTAAGAATAAAAACAAAAAAAAGGGCATGAAGTTAAACTCATTTAGCCACCTTCTAATCATTTTTCTAGTGCTACTAAAAGCAGAAGACGCAAACTAAAAAACACCTCCACGACAGTGGGCAAACTGACAATCACAAGCTAAATAATAAATATTTTAGGTGGGAGGGGTTTACACTTAAAGACATTTAAGGATCCGATTTCGAGCCGAGTTGGGATTGGCTTAAAATGAGCTCGAAAAAATTCAATTCAAAATTTAGCTTATAGCTCGACCCGTTTGTTTCAATCTGATCTCAATTCAAGCTTAAATTTGAATCAATTTCCAAGCGATTAATGATCTTCGAGCTAAATTTGCTCAATTCACAACCATAAATTATTAACGATATGATATCTAGCAGAGCTAGAGTTGGCCTAAAATCAATTCGAAAAAAGAAAAATCGATCTGAAATTGCCGCATATCTCATTCTGATGTCAAGCCGAATCAAAATTTAAATTATATACTTCGACCTAATTTAACGGCCCTTGAGCGTTAAGAATGTAAGTGATGCAATAAAGTGGCTTGGCCGTAAAATTAGAAGTTTAGGTGTTAGATATGTAAATTCATGAATTGCGTGGTATGTTCGTAAATCCACAAATTTAAAATAATATTGTCGGGCTGGCTGCTGGAACACAATTATGACCGAGGAAGGGCGGTTCAAATACCAAATAAAGAGGTTAGGCCATTCCGCTCCCTAATTAGGTTGGGCTTTTCGGTTCCCTTCACCTCATGTCTTTTTGCTCCAGCCTCTGTCTTTCTCTCTTCTTCGCTTAAGCCTTTGGAGATTCGTAACACAGCTGCAAAGCTTTCAGGGAAAGCTGTTCTACTCGTCGGCGACCGATTTTGCAGGTACGGTTCTGTTTCCTTGCCTTTTTACTTGCTACTTCTTTTCTGTGAATCTATAAAAAGAATCTCTAATGGAATGATTCTTGGGTTCTTGGTGATGATTCTGATCCCAGGTCTTAGATTTTGATCCTTCGCTTTGAAACTTGGGTTTATTCTGTCTCATGTAGCTTTTTTAACTTTCCTATTTCCCTTATTTGATTTTTAATACTAAAAATTATTTGGTGGCGAGTACGTGAATCCGTAATGATTTGTTGATTTTATTGTATTTTGAAAGCAAAACATTATGGGCTGTTTACTAGCAAAGATTTTAACTTACGATTTAGGCGGTATTTGCCATAACTATTGCTTAACGGTCAGAAATATCATCATATATCCTACAGAAATTTAAATCCCATATGTTTTCAGTTTCTCCTCAAATTCTGGATTTATTAAATCCTGAAATTGGCCAGATTCAATAAAGCCGCAAGATTCACCGACTCCCTTCTTCACACCCGCTGTATCCCTAGATTCCTTCTCCAGCGAGCACCAGTTGAGACTTCCTGCCTTGTTTCTCGTCGATGGTTTCTTGAATTTGGGAGAGACGGGGTTTTAATATCTCTGATATTATATTAATTTTAAAAATAAATTAATATTTATGAGTAATCTTATAAAATTAAAATGACTATAATCTAAGTAAATTAATATTATTTGTGATTTAATTTGATAAAAAATTTATTATATTTAATTACCTTTTTAAACTATAAATTTATTAGGATGTTAATCTCATCTAATTTTTAATTATTTAACAAAAATATAATTGAGAAAATATTTTCTTGATTAAAATTATTAATTTTCATCAAACAAATTAATAAATATATGCTGATCAAGCTATTAATTTAATATTAATGATTAATCTTGTTAAATTAAATTTTTTTTCTATTTGATACTTTTTATTTAATTTTTCAAAATATAAGTTATCATTTATTTAGCTTAATATATTACTAATTAATTATTACTTGAGTATTTAGTTATATTAAGTATGATTTAATTAATCTTATAAGCAACGAGATATAAAATCCTTATATTTTGAAATAAGTATCCAAATAATTTACTTGATTTAACACCTAGTATGCCAAACAATTTTCAGAATATAACCCACATTGGATTTAATACATTTGAATTTATGAGTAGAACTAACTTTTGCTTGAATCAAATCTGACCTGCAACCAAACAACCTCTATAAAAAACCATAAATATTCCAAAATAAACAAAAATCAAACAATGCAAATATTGGTGTTACCTTCCATAGATATTCATTGTTTGTAAGATGGAAGAATTTATGGCTATCTCAACTTTGAAATCCAAATATAAAATAAAAGAAAATTTTTTTACTCAGAAAACTCACTAGAAAACAAATAAGGGGCTTGGCCTAACTTTAAAAAATCATGGGACTTTTAGATGCTAAATAGCTTCTTATGGTTTGTAGATGCTTGCATCGTTGTCGCCCAAAAAAGTTGCAAAATATTGAAAATTGTACATTCCACAAATGTTAGATCAGTAATCTCCAATGCTAGTTTAATTGAAGTAAAAAAGCTTACCAACAACAACAACAACAAGCCTTCATCACATTAAGTGGGGTCGATTACATAAATTATTTTTCTTCTTTGCATCCTAGAGAGTCATATTTTATTTAATTCTAATAAATTAAGATCATTTTTTTATACAATATGCCCATGTTTTTTGGGCCTACCTCTATCTTTCTTAGCATATGTCGATTCTAAGACATTTAATCTCCTAACCGAATCATCAGATGGTCAATGTTTAATGTGACCAAGCCATCTAAGACGACTCTCTCTAATTTTGTCTGGCAATGGAGCTACACTAGCTGTATCACGGATATATTGATTTTGCATTTTGTATTTAAGTGTCAAGCTACTCATCCACCCAAGCATTCTCATCTCGGCAAACACATAACTTTGTTTTATGCTTCTTTTTTAAAGGCCAACATTCTGCGCCATAGAGTATTGTGGGTCTCCACCATCTTCTAAAATTTTTCTTTCAGCCTAAGCGGTATTTTTCTATCACACAATAGGCCTGAAGCATTCATCCACTTCGACCAACCAACTTGAATTCTAGTATTAATATCCCCATCTATATCACCATCACTTTGAACAGTAGACCCAAGATATTTAATGTTTTCATACTTTGTAATGATTTGATTCCCATGGTTACAATTCTGCACTAGAGCTATTATTACTAAAATTACATTCCATGTATTCAGTTTTAGTTTTTTTCAAATGAAAACCTGCAGACTTCAATATAGACCTCCATAATTCAAAATTTTCAAACTCTTTCTCTAGTATTATCCACAAGAAGGATCTGATCAACAAAGAGCAGACACTAAGGTACATCCTCCTGTAAGTGACCAATAAGAGCATTCATAACTAAAGCAGAAAGATATGGGCTTAAAGCTGATCACTATTGTACACCCATTGAAATAGGAAAATATCTGGTCAATCGTCCTCATGTTTGAATACAAGTAGTAATACATATCTTTAATGACATGAATATAAGTTATATCAACACCTTTCTTCTCTAGAACTCTCCAAAGGATTCCTCTTGGAACCTTATTGTAAGTTGCTTCTTAATCAATAAAAGTCATATGTTGATGATCCTCCTTATTCTCTCAGTATTTGTCCATCAAACTTCTCAATAAATGTATAGCTTTCATAGTAGTTCTGTCCATCATAAATCCAAAATGATTATAAGAAATTTTTGTAGCACGTCTTACCTATGTTCAATTACCCTCTCCCATAATTTTGAAGTACAAAACATCAACTTAATTTGTTTATAATTTGTGCACTTGTGCACTCTTTTTATTCTTAAAAATGGGGACCAAAATACTCTTCCTTCACTCTCTGGCATATTTTTAGCTTTTAAAATAATATTGAAATGTTTAGTAAGTCATGAAATTTCTAAGTCTCCTAAATATTTCCATGCTTCAATTGTGATATCATCAGAGTCTATTGATTTTCCTCCCTTAATTTTATTTAAAGCCTCCTCATTTTTTTTTTACTAATGCGACGGTAAAAATAAAATATTTTATTATCACTAACGATATCAAGATCACTAAATGCAGAATTTTTGGCGTCACAAATTGTTCTCTTAGACTCTCTACGAGCCACCTTATATTTCTCCCAATTATGTATGTTTTTTACATTTAAATCAATTTTTATAACACAACTTCTTATATTTTCTTTTCTTGCACATTATTATTTCACCAAAAATTCTTTTTATTTATAAAATTGTTTTCTTTTAATTCTTTAAGTACATCTTTTGTCACTTCTTTAATAGTGTTTGTTATTTTTTCCCACATAGAATGTGTTTCTTTAAGAACATTCCAAATCTTGAGATCTTGAATTTTACTCATAAAATAGTTTTATTTGTCTTTTAGGTGCATACCATCTAATTCTATTACAATGAATCATAGTAAAAGGCCTACAAATGAACTAAAAAAACATTTATAAATTTTTAAATAGTTATTTTCTTATTCTAACTATTCTTTATAACTATTAAAGATTATATAGATTACATTATTTTATGGTGTACTTTTTATAAGACCATGGTTGCCTCTTGGTTAGGCCGACCAACACATACGAACCCATAATTTTGATTAATTTGACAGAAGTCCCAAAACATTTCATCGGACAAATCTTGTTATTTTATTTGGTCATAAATTATTGTTTCAACATTTAAGTGCTTTGATAAAATTGGAATTGAGTGATCTTGGAATTATTGGATTCTCTCATTGAAACTATTGATTTTATTATATGTAATGTTAAAAAAATGTTTAACCCTTCAATTAATATCTTGAAAATTTTCAATCACAACTAAATTGCTTGATTTTGACTCATTTGAAGTTGAATTAGATTATTTTTTATGATGCTAGGTTCTTCTTGTTGAAACGTTAAATTTGATTATAAATTTCTTGAGATTGGAGTTTACATAATCATATTTATTTTCATAAGCTTTTAATTCAAAGATTAAATCAAGATTCGTGCTTGAACAAATTTTTTTTCCCTTTTTTTTTTCTTTATGACATCAAGTGTTTCTTTACGAATATATTGAATATAATATGTGTTTCTCTCAATCATAGCCCTAAGTAAATTAAATAATAACCCGAAAAAAGAAATAATTCTTATGTGAGACTTTTGGTTGCTCCTCTGGCCCTTGTTCTTGGTTTTGGTCTCTCCATCTACCCCAGGTCAGCCTCATAAGAGATTCTTGATCAACACGATCATCCTCTTCTCATAGTCTTGCTCTAGTTGCACAGTTACATAAAAAAAAAACACCCTCTCTCAAGTGGCCAACTTTGCTACCCTAAATTGTAAGAATGAGCAACTTGAACTATATATATATATATATAGTAAGCTTATAAAGTAGAATTTAGCGTTAGTTAGGATTTATTAAATTCTCATTTAAGGCGGTGAAGGCAAAATTTGGGACCCTAAATCTGAAAGTTTATAATTTCAGAGAACTACATTTAAGTGCTTGGCCAGATTTACTCCGAATTTAGTAAATCCGGTGATAAATCCTATTAAAAAGCGCTACAAAAAACCTACTAAAAATTTTTAAATAACATAACTCTTAATTTTAGGAGCTTATGCCATCTCAACATAGTGGTGAGGCATGCCTACCCCCATTAAGGCATGCATCTCATATGGCAAAAATATTTGTCAGGCTCCATGTTACTTTTGTTTATTAATGTAGCACTGACGCATTTTTTATTTCGCAATTTCGAACCTCACTTTGAGCTCTCTCAGTTTCTTATTGAGATGATTTAAGTGTCTAGAGACTTGGTACATTGTTATAAATTTTGTTTTGTGTGGTATACAATTCTAACTTGTTTGGTCATCAGCCCAATTAAATCAAGTAAAAACCAAGTATTCGTTTAGTTCTTTTAAATGCCTTTGTGATGTATGCTTTGTGCTAGAAGTCAAAAGCCTTTCTTGGTCAAAGGGTAATTTTCATGAAATCAAGGAGCAATTGTTGCTAAGACCATTTTCATGTGCTTAGGTCTGAACGAATACTAAGTTTTAGATCTTGCTACTCACTTATTCGTTTTCCTAAGGTTCTACGTTGGATCTTGCTGTTGTTGGTGAAGGTATAATGGAAGGAACTATTTTGACGGGCTTCCTCATCGTCCTTATTTGACCTATTTTAAAAAAAAAGAAAAAAAGTTTTATGGTGGTGTCTCTTTTGGATTGTTTTACTTTTTTAAATGACTACTTAACCGACATTTGACCTAGTTTTTTTACTCTCTCAGAAAATTTTGCTGACAAGAATGGTTTTGTGTGACCAAGCGAGTTCATTCACTGTGTTTGAACGATGGTTTAAAAATTCATTATTTTACTGTTTAATCCCCTCTTTTTTAATGAAACTATATAACTACTCAAATCAATTTTTGAAAGACAGTGACAATCATCCCCAAACTAACCCTTCGTGATATCTTAAAATGAGCACCAGGAATCCTGCATCCCACCAGCTAAATCGTGATCCTGTACTCCTTCAATCGCCTGCTTTTCGGCTGCACATTGCTAATTTACTCGCTGCCGATTGGTTATGTTTTTTAAAAAACCAAAGCTCGCAGAAGAAATTGTTAGTCATTTAAGTATTGATTTGTTTAATTTATATTTTATAATGTATTTTTTTAAATCATATTTATTACATTATTATTTCATCATTTATGTTATATTTAAGTAAAGTTATTACTTATTACGTTGTCCGGTTTAATCTTTGAACCTTAAACCTTCCCACCGATTGGTTGAATGTTCGGTCCGATTTTGAGAACCTTGCTATTATAGGTTCCCAGTTCAGATCTTTCCTACATTAAGGCTTCTCTAGATGAGCATTTTAATCAGCTTTTCATTTACGTCTTTTTGAACAACTATTCTTATTTCACATTAGAGAAAAGGTTAAAATGATCCTTAACTATTTATTTGGGGTTGTTTTGGCTAGGGCTATAAACGAGCCGAGCTTGAGCGAGCTCAGACTGGCTCGTGTTCGGCTCGTTCGAAATAGCTCATGTTCGAAATCGGCGCGCGTGAACAGTGTGTTCGTGTCGTGAACAGTGTGTTCGTGTTCGGCTCGATTTATATATTCGTGTTCGGCTTCAAATTGGCTCGTTAAACTAAAATTGAGAAAAATAGATGTAAAGTGTGGGATTCGAACTTGGATCAAATATATACAAAAAAAGACACTAACCACATTGCCACATGAGGCATTATGATTTAAACTTAGACATAAATATATATAATATATTATTATATAAATAATATATGTAATATATTGTTATATAAAAAATTATATAATTTTTTTTTTCAAGCAATTTCGAGCCGAACATAAGCGAACAAATTGTTGATCGTGTTCGGCTCGTTTACTTTTCGAGCTTAAAAATTTATTTATGTTCAGCTTGTTAGGCTTAACGAACGCGAGTTGCTTAACGAGCCGAACACGTGCTGTTCACGAACAACGAGCCAAATTGACAGCCCTAGTTTTGGCCCTAAACTATTTAACATATCTATTTTAGTGCTTTGAATCCTTAAATTTAATCCAAAATTGTCCCTCAAAATTTTCAGATCTTTTCCAAAATAAATAAATGTATTATTCTGGATCTTATAAAATAACCTTGAAACTATTTAAAAAAGTTTATCATCTCACTTTGATATTTCTTCTTATTTGATTAGAATTCCATAAGTTTTATACTGTAATGAAATGGTATTTCACTGATTTATGCTTATGATTTTTTTGTGGAAATTCAGTTTGGCTATATATTTTCTTACAGGTAGCCGTCATTAAGACAACTACTGAAAGACAAATACCCGGGAATGTTTGAAGATGTGCTTGCTTGCAAAATCCTTGCCCACAACTAATGACAGGGTAGTTCCATCTGTGGTGGCTCTACTTTCTGATAAAAATGGACACAACTTTTTGAACTGGGCTACATTCTTTGAGCTCACACACAATGGATTACGAAGTATAATAACCTTTTTGTCATTATATCATGAGATTATGGAGGATGGTTGAATGCTTGGCCTCTTAAATTCTGCTTCTCTACATATTAAATATCAGTTTTAGAGAGTAGTGCTCAAATTATTCTGCTGCTTGACGTAGATTCAGCAAATAATAAAAACAATGGTGAATAAAGGGTGTTTATTGCTGCAAAAGTACGAGCTTGGCAGACTACTAGGACAAGGAACTTTTGCAAAAGTATACTACGCCAGAAATGTTAGTACCAACCAAAGTGTTGCTATAAAAATGATTGACAAAGAGAAGGTGCTGAAGGCTGGGCTCATGGATCAGATCAAACGTGAGATCTCAATAATGAAATTGGTGAAGCATCCGAATATCGTACAGTTTTATGAAGTCATGGCTACAAAGACCAAGATTTATTTTGTGATGGAATATGTCAAAGGAGGTGAACTTTTCAGCAAGATTGCCAGGGGCAGGCTTGAGGAGGATGTTGCAAGAAAATACTTTCAACAGCTAATTAGCGCTGTTGAATTTTGTCACAGCAAAGGTGTTTATCACCGCGATTTGAAACCTGAAAACCTCCTCCTGGATGAAAGTGGTAATTTGAAACTCTCAGATTTTGGCTTGAGCGCTCTCACCGAGTCGGCAAGGCAGGATGGCTTGCTTCACACTACTTGTGGAACTCCAGCCTATGTTGCTCCTGAGGTGATAGGTAGGAAAGGTTATGATGGAGCTAAAGCGGATACCTGGTCCTGTGGAGTGATCCTCTATGTACTTTTGGCTGCCTATCTGCCTTTTCATGATTCAAATTTGATGGAGATGTACAGGAAGATCGAGAAGGCTGAATTTAGATGTCCTAATTGGTTTCCTTCTAAAGCACGAAAGTTGTTGGCTAAGATGTTAGACCCAAATCCAAGTACCAGAATCTCAATTGATAAGATTCTTTCAAATTCTTGGTTTAAAAAGGAATTTAATGGCAATCAAATTGTTGCTGACAGCGAGTCAAAAGAAATTAGTCCCTCTGATCATAACTCTACATTTAGTTCCAGTGGTAGCAACAGTCAGGCCGAGCAAAAACCTGATGTTATGAAGCTTAAAACCATGAATGCATTTGATATCATCTGTCTTTCTGATGGATTTGATCTTTCAGGTTTATTCGTGGATCGTGATCACAGAAAAGAAGCACGTTTTACTTCCTGGCAGCCTGCTGCTGCCATTATCTCGAAGCTAGAGGAAGTCGCTAAGAGGCTGAGGTTCAAAGTGCAGAAGAAGGACGGCGGGTTCATGAAAATGGAAGTAAAAAAGAGAGGAAGGAAGGGTGTTTTAGCCATTGATGCTGAGATATTTGAGATTACACCTTCATTTCACATGGTGGAGATGAAGATGACTAATGGAGATACACTTGAGTTTGAGAAACTCTGTAACGAGAATATTAGGCCTGCCCTTAAAGGCATGGTCTGGAGTTGGCTAGGCGAAATGGGGAATTTACGGCAGCTGCAGACTTGAGTACTTCTTTTGCAAGCCATTTAAATTCTTTTTTTTTTTTTCCCTCGTTCAAGTAAATTGTGTTTAAATTGTGTTGTATTCTTGTAATTCTCTGGCGACATTATATTGTTGTTGAATGCTTTTTAATATTGCTCTGCGGATCTGCTTTGACTCTTGAGAATTCATTTGAATCTAAATTTATATATCGGATTAATTTATGAGTGCATGTGTCAATTGTTCTTGTATGGACGATTGCTCGAGTTGGGAACCATGTTGTTCGGAGAACAATGCATATTAGTTGACACTTAATGTTTGCAAGTTCTTATAAGCTAATTTAACAATTTTTAATGGGAGGGAAACAACATAGTTGAAATCATTGAATAGGATGTTTGCTAAAACTAAAAAAAAGATTAAATTTATATGATAAAAAGAAAGCAATTAAAAAATGAAGCTAAGTAATAATGATCTTGGATGTGTGGTAGAACCAAGGGAGTAAATTTAAATCTTTTAAGATAATAATAAGAATAAAAGTTGGCCTTTTTTTATTATGTGAAAATAATGGGGCAAAATATCATATTTGCCTATTAGACTTCTATAATACTTCTCAAATAAATTTAGGTATTTTGAATTTATTTAGTACTATAGTTTTAAGTAAAAAATTTTCAAATTGTTGAAATAAAAACTTGTTAGGTATGACTCATATAACATAAATGGGACAGATGCTGGAACGGAGTGGAGCGAAAGGATCTGTCCAATTGAGGGAGTTTCATTATGTGTGTTAGGTTTGCAGGGGCAATACCCCGCGGTTTGGTACGGGTAATTTAGGTAATTACATATTTTACTATAGAGTTATATATATGTATCCTGTTTGTAATCTTAGGAGAAGGAGATTCTGAATTTGGTATTTTGTACTCTTTTTTGAATATTGAAAAGGAAGTCACTGCTCTGCTCCCGAGGACGTAGGCGTCTTTGCTGAACCTCGTAAATCTCTGTGTGTTCTTTTGGATTTGTGTTGATTCCTGTTTTTCTTCGCCCTAATTTCTCAACAAGTGGTATCAGAGAGAAGTTCTAGAGTAGGGAAGAGAAATTTCGGCGGCGCAGAAATAAAGAAGATTTTGACAGAGGAGATTTGGTGGCTAGGGCAAAGGAGTTCGGTGAATTTCGGGGCTTCAATGATTTGGCGAAGAATTTTGGCAGTTCGCGACAGATTGTTGGAGTTGGCAGCGAGGAGTTCACGAAGGGCGTGAATCGCGCAGGAGGACCAATTTACGAAGGCGAAGCCGAAGGCGTTCGCGGGAGGTTTCGACCAACGCAGGAGTTTGCGAATGCGAAGCCGAAGGCAGTTCGCTGCAGGCTGCTCACCGAAAAAGAATCAAGGAATCGTCCATCTCCACTAGAGGGAATATTCCCTCTAAAACATGGGAGGAGCTCGTTGTACGTGGGAATTCGCGGGAGGAGTTTCGTGTAGGAGTTTTGCGCTGATGCAGGCATTCATGCGGGAGGCGTTCGTGGGATTTGGTTCAGAAGCTGCGGGGAGGAGCAGTTCGCACGGTGGCGTAATACGCTGAATCGCGCTAGAGCCGAAAAAGGAAAGCTGAGGGGAAGCTTTTCTGGAAGGAAAGCGGAAACGGAGCTTTTCTGAAAGGATAGTGGAGGCGGAGCTCTTCTAAGAAGGAAAACAGAGTTTCTGGAAGGAAAAAAGAGCTTTTCTGGAAAGAGAAAATGGAGCTTTTATGAGAAGGAAAACAGAGCTTTTCTGGAAGGATAAATGAGTTTTTTCTAAAAAGCGAAGACAAAGCTTTTCGGGAAGGAAAGGGGAGCTTTTCTTGGAAGTTTAAGGAAAACGATTTCTGGGAAAGTTTAATTAAGGAAAATTTAATTAAAGGAAAGTCCTTTTTCTAGGAAAATTAACTAAGAAAATCTTAATTAATGGATTATTTAAAAATATTTGTGGCAAGAGCAAAGTGAGTACAATTTCTGGCTCAAGCAATTTGAAATTTCAGCAGAGAAATTTGCAGAGGAGTTCGTTGCAGAATCAATTTCAGATGGCAATTTCTAGTGCAAAATTTGAGGTGGTAAAGTTTGATGGAACTAGTAACTTCGAATTGTGGCAAATAAAGGTGAAAGATTTGTTGGCTCTATAAAAAATCTTGAAAGCTTTGCGGGCAGCAAAACCAGATGTCATTGAGGATAAAGATTGGGAAGAATTGCAAAAACGAGCGGCAACAACCATATGCCTATGCCTGACGGATGAGGTTATGTATCACGTGATGAATCTAAAATATCCAGGGGAGGTATAGAAGAAACTAGAAGCTCAGTTTATGTCCAAATCTCTGAGGAATAAATTTTATCTGAAGCAAAAGCTGTATGGACTGAAGATGCAAGAATGTTCTGATCTGACGCAGCATATGAATGACTTCAATCAAATAATCACAGATTTATTAAGGCTTGATGTGAGTATTGAGGATGAATACCAAACAATGATTCTGTTGTGTTCATTGCATTCTTTTTATGAAAATCTGGTGACTACTCTGATATATGGGAAAGAAACTATCAAAGCTGATGAGAATATTGTAGCATTGCTGGCTCACAACCAGCGAAAGCAGAATGCATGGAATAGCTCTCATGGAGACAATTTATATGTTAAGGGTAATTAGGATCGAGGAAGGAAGGAAGAGAAGGAGAGTTATGGAAGGTGAAATTCCAGAGTCGAAAAGACGATTCATTGCTATAAGTGCAAGGAGCTAGGTCATATGAAGAGAGATTGTCCAAAGCTTAAAAAGCAAACTGAGGAGAAATGTGATACATAATTCAAGTCTGTAAATGTGGTGCAGAGTGACAATTCAGATTGCAGTGATGGTGATATGCTTTCAGTTTCATCAACTCAGTTCATGGATGCATGAATTCTTGATTCTGGGTGCTCTTATCACATAACACCTAACAGGGAGTGGTTTACTTCATACATATTAACTAATTCTGGCTCAGTCTATTTAGGTGATGATAGATGCTGCAATATTATTGGTATTGAGGATGTCAGAATTAAGATGTATGATGATACTGTTAGAACACTATGTGAGGTCAGACATATTCCAGATTTGAAGAGGAATTTAATTTCCTTGGGCACTTTACATAGAAATGATTTTATTCCTAAGGCAGATGGGAATAGGAAAACTATCAGAATTGTTAAAGGTGCACTGACTGTGATGAAAGGAAAGTTAATTGCAAGTAATATCCATAAACTGTTGGAGAGTACAGTTGTAAGTGGGGTTCACTTTGTTGGATCATTAGATGAAAATGCAGCAGATATGTTAACCAAGCCAGGTACTATCAGCAAGTTCTTGCATCGCTTGAACTTGTTGAATGTTTGCAATTGTTAGACGACATGGTGGCCCAACCCACATTGGTGCACAAGAAACTCCATGATATATTTCTCCTAAGGGCCTTGATATTCGCCAAGGTGGAGATTTGTTAGGTATGGCTCATATACCATAAATGAGATAGATGTTGGAGCAGAGCGGAGCCCACGAGTGGAGTGGACCAGAAGGATATGTCCAATCAGGGGAGTTTCATTATGTGGGTTGGGGGTGTGGGGGCAACACTCCGAGGTTTTGTACGGGGGTAATTTAAGTAATTACATATTGTACTATAATGTTATATATATGTCTTGATTGTAACCCTAGGAGAAGGAGATTCTTAATTTTGTATTCTGTACTCTTTTCTGAATATTGAAAAGGAAGTCGCCGCTCTGCTCCCAAGGACATATGCATCATTGCGGAACCTCAGAAATCTCTGTGTTCTTCTGGATTTGTGTTGATTCCTGTTTTTCTTCGCCCTAATTTCTAAACAGAACTTAAAATAGTATATGATTGAATTGTCACTCGATAGCATTACTATTGATGGGGTTAACAAAATTTTAATATTCTGTTGATTTAACATGAACTAAAAATTAGGTAAGTCTAGTTATTGAGTTATTCTTCAACAGTCTTGCATCTAAGACCTTATATATGCGGTGCGTGATGCCTGTGCTGGAAAAAAAAATCTTGAACAAAAAATAGATATCTTCTCTGCAAATTTAAGATTAAATTTAAATTTACCATTGCTCATTTCTCACTACAATGTAAAATGAGTTTGCCCCAAAATAATTAATAACACACAATAAATATAGTATTAATGTGTTATCAATAAATTTTATTAATTGCCATGAATCTTGTGGCATTCTTTGAGCATTTTGATTCAAATTAAAATTCATTTAGGGCATTAATTTCAACAAATCTATAGCCAAATTAATCTTCTTAACAAGATGAATCTAATGATATCAAAATTGAGAGCTCTATCAGACTCTGACATCCTTTAAGGATGTGACTTTTGAGCTGGCTGAGAGCTCTACCAGGCCTTCACCTCTTGTGCTCGACCCTCCACTTCCTCCATGGCGGAGACACTTCAGACACTTAACAAGGATGTTGCAATTATGTAGTGGTGGCAACACGATATGGGGCAACAATTTGATCACCACATTTACCAGCATCAGTGACATTATGAGTATCAAGTACAATTCAATTCAACTCTTATGAGTATGTGCCAATTGAATGTGGGGCATAACCCTATCTAATTTCCTATAATTCCTCTATTTTGACACTACGAGTGTACTACCCAACCTATGGAGGAGGTTGATAATAATGATGATAATGTGGAGATGAGGGTGAGCGAGTAGAGAGTTGATTTTTAATTTTTTTTTAGTATGTTGATATGCTTAGTTTATTATGGACTTGTGTTTATATTTATTTATTTAAAACAACACACTATGTTATGTGATAGTTACATTTGATATTATCATTACGTGATTTCCTTTCAGTGAAGGTACTTTTTCACATATGATATTTTTATATTATTTCTAGCTTGTTTATATTAATTTTTGCCCTTTACTTAAAAATATTATACTTTAATTTTCATGACACTTGGTATGATAATTAAAAAAAATAAGTTTGTGGGAGAAATTATGAAACATGTGTCTAAGTAATTATTTATTTTTGAAATTTTAAACTACAAATCGAAAGGTAGCTTTAACTTAGATTATTTGTAA